GCGATTGTACTATGTGAAATATGGCATTTCTCAATGGCACATTCTAAATCTACAGAGCGACCGAGGAGGTCGCCTTAAAGTTACTACGCAAACGCAATTCAAATCACAGATAATCTAGTTATTAGCTAATAACACGTCTGATTTCTTTTCTTCTTACAAGTTCTTAAGAAAATGCACGCGTTTGAAAAGTTCGCATATGTTTTTAAAAAGTTGTTTGAAATTATGTAAAAGAGAAACGGCGTTATACGTGCGTGTGTGTGTGCGTGTGTGTATGTGGAAAAAAAAAACAAATATGTAGAAACGTAAAGGAAATATGCGATTTGTACTTTTTTTTTTTACACATGTCAGTTATCTGGGATACATATTGAGCAGAGCGCATTCCCTTATTACACGTTTCCCTTCGTAGTTCATCACGTTTTTGAATTTGTTTGCGCGCACAGTGGGATCGCGATTAAATCGGATACACAATTTGCCTTCGAAGTTTTGATTATGTCCGATATACAGAGGGGCGTACAAGTTTCCGGCCAGTGACATTTTACTACACTACAGTACTTAAAATTTATTTAAAAAATAACATTTTAACTATTATGTTATATATTCAGGGGTGTAAATATAACATAACAATAGTTAATTCTTGTGAGATCGCTTCATTATTATTGACAAGTAAAATAAATCATAAATATTTCTATAAATATTATGCTGAATATAGTTTAAAAGATCGCAAGCGTAGTGGAAAGCCACAAAAGATAAATGTCTTTCTATCTAAAAAAAAAAAAAAAAGTAAATCGTATCATTAAACGCAAATCAGATTGGATATCAAGAGAACTGCTGCTTAAGACAATTCATGTTTAGTGAATTAAATATGTTCATAAGAGAGTTAGTCCATTTGTCGAGATCAACAAGATCGCGAAAGCTGCTATTTGCAAGGACATTTTAGAAAAAAAAAAAAACATTTGTTAACATGCTGAAAAATCAATATCACAGAATTGGATACTTCGGCACAATGACGATCTCAAACACACATCAAAGCTGTTAAGGAAGTAGTTTTCCGCAAATGTAAGAGTTTTTTCAAGTTCAATCACGAGATTCGAACCCGATTGAACACATTATGGAAAGAACTAGATCGTCGAATTCGAAAACACATACACATTTAAATAAGGCCGCATTATTCTCTAATCGTTGAAAGAAGAATGGGATAAAAATTTCGCCTGCTTAACATTAATCGACTAATTGAGTCGTTGTTATCGCCGCAATATAAATTGCAAAATATTGACATTAAAATAGCATTTAAATTACTAAAGTGTATATTTTGATTTTAGAATTTTTTTGTTAACTAATGATTTTTCTCGCAAACTTCTGCGCATGTAAATTATAACAATTATAGCAATATTTTCACGAACATAAACAATATTTCCTCATTATATTATTTTATTTCCTGTATTTTAGTTACACTTAATGGTTAAAACTTTGTTAGATTTTTTTTTATAAATTATAAGAGTTCCAGCCATTGACCGGAAATTTTTACACACTACTGTATGTAAAAATATATATATATGTATACATATGTATCGTCAGTGAGTGGATCATAGTGCCGTATATCGTGTTTGGTTCTTCTGCGATTGAAATAAAGTTATTTTTTTGAGACAAACGTAGTTGTTTACCCTCCGTTCTTTCTTTATTCTCGATTATTCGGCGGACTTTGATTCAACTGGGGTCAAGTCGGATTAATCAAGGTCCCACTGTACTTCATAATTACGTAAATAAGTGAGTCCGCTATTCTACGACGTATCAACGAAAACTTCAGGATATTCGCTAAGATTTAATAGCAACATTCTTTTTTTTTTCTTACATATACAAGCAAAAGTTAAATAAAAAATCACAATAAGTACGTATAAAAAGTAAATTTTGGATTTCAACAAAACCTATTTAGAATAGGTCGATATATCTTTATAAAATATCGTGTAAAAAAATATCGCGTGAAAAAATATAAATTCCGATTTATATTATTGATAATATTCGTATAGAAAAAGGAAAAACATAACAAACGTAACTTTAAAAATAGGCCAATATTTTCCTTCTCTTCGCAAGTAAAGAAATGGCACAAGTGCTCTTGTTGTGATAAGCGGCAGTTGCGATATACAACATTTACGCGTAAAATCAAGACTACTGCCGCTTTTGTTATCAATAAAACCATTTCAATACCAAATATTGTTCATAAGTGATAAAAGGTGCAATTCGATCGATTAATTATTTATACACAAGTTTTATCAATAATAAGATATAAAATAATAAAAACCAATCTCAAACCCATTTATATAAAATTTAAAAAAATTGATACAAAACAATAATTATTACATATTATTATTATACAGATTTGATTTTTGCCAAAATTATTGTCCTTTTTAAAAATGTAATTTATATGTGAAACAAAAAAAGTTGATACGCAAATTTACACATAAAATTTATTTTATATATAAATACGCGATTAAAGATCCGTTCACCTTTTGTCACTATGAATTGCCACATGCGATGTCAGACCACCTTTTCGTACTTCTAAAAGATTAGAAGAGGAAAAGAGTGGTCTGCCTCGCTTGCTACTTGGTCGCCTCGGGCGGACAATCGGGCTGGTTATTGGGATGAGCCGCGGTGAAGGCAGGATGGTGTTCTAGATGACGATCGACCCTGAGAATCGTAGGGAATGGTCTCAAATCGACGTGAAACCTTCGCGCATTGAATATCTGTGGGACCAGGCAACAGTCCGCCAACGTAATCTCGTCACCGACGCAATATTTGCCCGCACTCGACGACAACAACTTCTCGACGGCTGAAAAATAGAATATTATCGCTCTGTTTGTTCGATTACGTAAATCCGTTGCTGCTTACCACATTAAAAAAGATAAAAATTAAAACTGTTACATAAATCAAAACTCTTGCCGCTACTTCATTAAAGATAAGACGAACAATATTCCATACTTTTTTGATTTGATATCAATTGGAAAAACACACTGTATGTCGCGTAAACATTGTTTTTTACGAACCTTGATATGTGATAAATAATTAGAATTTGTGTTAACTTGTGCAGTTTTTGAGAACATTTCTTTAAAGAGAGAGAGAGAGAGAGAGAAAGAGAGAAAATCTAATTTATTATTTTTTCTCAATATAAATTTTTATACGCACCCGTGAATCCTCTGGTGATCCAATGCTGCGCCCATTCTTTCTTACGTTCTTCCCCGACATAAATTAAAACTACGAGATTTTGGAGTGGTTGTATGCCGCTGGCGATTACTTCACATATCTCTCTCACTCTGGCTCTTTTAACAGGATCCGCTGGCATCAGCGGACGATTTGGCCTAGTCTCTTCCAAGTATTGCAGAATATTTAGCTGCGAAGAAGCATCGATTATATATGTATAACTATATAAATCACAACTAAAATCGAAAAAAAAAAGAAACACGTGCAGTATAATACTCACAGACTCTATCAGTGTGTGATTGTCAATGTGGAGCGCAGGAACTTGCTCCATTGGATTAATCTCGCGAAACTCATTGGAATGTTGCTCACCGCCGCTTTTTACCAAACTCACAGGCTTTATGTCGTACGGTATTTCTTTCAGATTTAATGCTATTATATATACAAAGTAAAAATATATATATTAGAAAGATACACTTACAATACGCACAATATGTAACAATATGTTGTTAAGATACAACACGCAAAATAATTCTTGTCTAACGCTTTTGGATAAAAACAAACGTAATTAAAACAAAAAACGTTCACAAGATCATCATTTGAATACAATACTTCTGAAACAATTGTTTTTTTTTGTTTTTACAAATTACATATATATTATTAAAAACAGCTTTCACTCACCGATTCTTACTCTCCACGAACAGGAACTCCGCCAATAAGAGTAAAGTACTGGCTGTTGAAAGAAACGAGAAAATTATATATATATATATATATATATGAATATAGGTAATAAAGTTCATTTATGTTTGCGACGCAGACGACTTCGAGGACGACGAGATGTGTTTTAAATTGATTATATAAAACCAGATTCGAACGAAGAAAAAAATTTACAACAAGTCGGTAGATGTAAACAAGTTGCAACTGTAACAAGTAACGAAGCTAACAACTACTTTAAAAAAAGAAAACGTATTTTAATTAAATACAAATATTATCACTTATCAATTTTCTGGTGTTTCGAGGAACAAGAGACTTTTTTGTTGCATCGAAAATATTTACACGAAAAAAATATTCGCTCTTATTCCAATATGTGTAAAATGAAAAATCTATTAAATTTTTTTGTCCTTCGAATACTTCGCGAAAGCTTCCACACACAAATCAATTGTTAATTAATTAATTGAAAACTTTCGCACAGAAACCGCACGATCGAGCGTATTTCAAGCATTTTTCTGCAACAATTTGAAAATATTCGAATATTTTAAACATTTCTCTTCTCCTCTTTTTCTCTCTCTCTCTCTTCCGTTCATTTGTTTCTTTGTTTAAATTGTTAAAAAAAAAAAAAAAAAAAAAATTAACTGTTTTCCGCGAATTCTTTCGTTTCCACGAGAACGTTATCGCGCCGAGTAACAAACCGGCTAGAATCTTGAATGAAATAATGCGCGTTGTGCTGCAAAATCTTGTCTGTGCGTACAAGTTTGCACAAAACGCGCGTTTACAATTCGTTACGTGCATACGATTCTTCTCGGGGATATCAGTCTGTTGCAAAATTGAAGACAAGAGAACATTCAGGAATAATCGAAAGAAAATGTCAGCGACGACGAGACACGACGGAGTTGAGGCTTGTCAAAAAAAAAAGTTAAAGCATTATCCACCGTCCGTTGTCGCGGATTGAACAAAAGCGGATTCATTTTGCTCGCTCGGATATTTCGTCTCGCAAAAAAGCTCAACGAGCTCTCCTCCGTCGCTAATTGCAAAGACAGACAGAGAGAGAGAGAGAGAGTCAGTTTTTCGCGCGATCACACACCGCGAGCGGAATCCGAACATGTCGGCGCAATTTATGCTACGCCGGGTTCGAGAGTCCCCCCGGGTGCTGGTGCGAACGCGATCGTTTGTGTGTCACAACCGCGGCGTTTTTTTTTTTTTTTTTTTACGGCGAGAGATTAACACGCGCGCAAACAAACGGAGGCGGCACCAACCATCGAACAATTATTTACCTCGATGCCCAAGCCGAATGCCGCGTTCGGAATCTCTCGTCGTCCTCCACCTCGCACGGCGAGAGAAAGGTTAAATCGCGCGATATAAAATGTTTCTCTTTTGTTTTTTTTTTTTGTTTTTTTAACACACTCACCTTACCCATCACGGACATTTTGTTCGGGCCTCTCGCGTAACGCAACGCCGGTCTGCCAGGTCTGTTGCGATATTTATTAAAATCCAGCCAGCTACGGAGCAGCGGACTCTTTTTGGCACGCGATTTTTACCCGGTCCGGTCTCTGTCGAAGACCTGTCCCGCGAGAGACAACTCGGAGGTTTACTTGTGCTCTTGTAAACGCGCGAAATCTCGCACCTCCTCCTTTTACTCGATTCCCAGCCGTTCCTCCCTGTTCCACCGCCACATTCCAGCAGCCGTTTACGCACGACCAATGATCGCGGGGACTTTCCAATAGGCGGCTCCAGTGCCGTACGAATTTGTGGAATAAATTGCACCGAAACGCACACTGTGACACACGCAACACCTACTCGCTTCGCGCGTTCTTTCGACAAAAATTTTTATATACCGAGAGAAAAAAAAAAGTTAGTTTAGTTCAAAAAGCTAATGCAATTGGCAAAAAATTGTGCGAAAGAAAATTATTTTCAAGTATACAACTTTTCTCGACCGCATATACAGGGTGTCCCAGAATTGCCGTACAATCTCTCGTAGGCAGGTAGAAGGAGTAAAACTGAGTCGAAAAGTCCTGAACCATTTTTTTCTATTATTTATAATAAAGGAGTAATTGTTGAGTAAATAAGGCCAATCAGCGCAGACCTTTAGCCAGACGCACGTCAGTGAGCCGCGCGCCTGGTGTGTGTGAGCGCTCACTGACGCGAGCGTCTGGCTAAAGGTCTGCGCTGATTGGCCTGAGTTACTCAGTAAGTACTCCTTTATTATAAATAATAGAAAAAAATGATTCAGGACTTTTCGACTCAGTTTTACTCCTTCTACCTGCCTACGAGCGATTGTACGGCAATTCTCGGACACCCTGTATGTATGTGATATATAAACGAACTAAAAATGTTTTGTGCGACAATTAATTGAATCAAAGAATTATGATTTGCGAGAAGCAGATGTCTGACACAGTAACGACAAACGTTACAAAACGCTGCAAAATCGGAAATACATCGAAGTTACATTGTTATAAAAAAAGATAGTGTAAAGAGTGATCGTAAAATAAAATTAAAAAATAAGAGATTATACAGTAAGTGTGAATTAAATAATAATAAAAAATAATTTTTGATCATTTAACAGTAATTTAGCTCACGAATATCGAATAACGTCTATTTGTTTAAACAAGATGTATAATTTTGTGTATTACAAAAAAATATTCAATGTAATATATATATTAGTATGTTTAAAATGTGTCTGGAATTATTCTCTGATTAGATTTACTACACCGCTCTGTGTATATGTATGTGTGTGTGTGCGTGTGTACTTTCACTTTGTATATATACAGGGTGTCCCAGAATTGGTGTGACACATTTCTCGTAAGCAGATAGGAGTAAAACTGAGTCGAAAAGTCCTGAACCATTTTGTTCTATTGTTTATAATAAAGGAGTTTAATTGTTGAGTCTAAATCAGGCCAATCAGCGCCGACCTTTAGCCACGCGCACGTCAGTGCGGAACCGCGCGGGGGCGCTCACACACCATCAGGCGCGTGGCTCGCTGACGTGCGCCTGGCTAAAGGTCGGCGCTGATTGGCCTGATTTAGACTCAACAATTACTCCTTTATTATAAACAATAGAACAAAATGGTTCAGGACTTTTCGGCTCAGTTTTATTCCTTCTGCCTACGAGAGATGTGTCACACCAATTCTGGGACACCCTGTATATATATATATATATATTGACCAAAAACCGAAAAATTCGAATACGTATAGTTCCCCTCTTTCCCAATGAGAATCCGCAAATTCTGGTGAATCACGCCCACACGTATATGTGTGTACCAGCAGATGCGTACACACACACATACGTGTGCGGTATTTTAAGTGCAGACGGTGTACCAGAAGAACAGATCTATTTTTGTCTGTTTTCGATTGTTCGAAATGCGAACGTCATGACGGACGAACAATGCAATTTTTGTTGTTGTTGTTGTTGTTGTCAAACGCAACATTTGCGGCAAAACACAACAACGCGATAGAACGGCGGTGTTTTTGTTACAACGAAGTGATGGTCATCCGTTCTCTCTCGTGGTATATTTGCGCGCCCGCGACAGTAGAACGCGTTCTATAGGTTACACAGCAGCGTTTATTGTTGCACGGTTTGGCTTTTTTTTTTTTTTTTTTTTTTTTTTTTTTTTTATTTATTTCTCAACATTTGTATTCGACGCAACAATCGAAACGCAGCATGCTGTCGCGCAAAAACAAGGATCTGCGAACGATCAAAGAGGGAGTGGTTGGAAAATATGTGAAAAAGGAAACACCGCCCGAAATGCCAAGTATAAAATTTTCGCAATATAATCCGTGTTTTTTTTTTTTCTCTTTCGTGACACCATCTTTGCAAATTGCATGTGTTAGCGAAATTATTACTGACAAAAAACAATTGTAAATGCGCACTTTTGTTTATAACGAACTTTTGTTTAAATTTAATAATTTTAGTTATCAACGTATGGACAACAGAGCCAAATAAAAAAACAAGACGACGTAACAATCATTCACCAATATCAACTTCATCGGTAAGTTGCGATATTGCACACATGTGTCGCACAAAGTTGTGTGTGTGTGTTGCACATAGATGTATTTTATATATTTGTTCTATTGATAAAAATTTATAGATTTTTTTTCCCCCTAAAAGAGTTCGTGCGAATGTTTTTAACATTTTTTTTACAAGATATTATTTTTAATACAAAGTAAATTAAAAAACTATGATATGCGTGATGAATATTTAAAAAATGTGTCAAGCCTCTTGTGCACAATGGGCGGAATAGCGATAGCGATGGAAATAACAAAAGTTTTAAAGAGTTTGTATTTAAAAATAAAGGTAGGAACAGCGGAGGAATCTAACATACAAAAATACACATGTATCAATGCAGATCAGAAAATCGGAATAAGCAAAATAGCTAAATAAAATTTCCGACGAGTTGGAATTCTGTGCTAAAAACTGTGTTATTTCTATCGCTATTCCTTCCATTGTGCAAGGGGCTTCAATTTTTATCTTGTTTCTTATAACAGTCTGCTCAGCAACCCAGCATGGTGCAAAAGTTTGGAAATACAAAAACAATACCCAGTGCTGTTGGTCTTGGTAGTCACGAAGGAAAATACACACCAAACAGTTCTGTTCCTGACTTGGTTCAAAGGTTAATTATATATGATGTATTCTTATAATTTTCTCTTCTCGTTAACCCATTTGCATCACAAAGAAAAGTCAAAAATTCGTTCTTATCACCAAAATTTTTTTTGGCCTGGTATAAATAATATGCGCTTTGGTGATAAATGTGTACACACGCACATATACATATAGACATATTTCCCGCGTAACATCCAGCGAACGGCTCCTAAACGACCAATCATATTCATTTATTAGTTCAAAGACTTCAGAGCTCGAGATGAATCTCAGTTTTAATTGTCAATATATTTTCTTTCAATGTTTTTTTTATTTTATTTTATAGATTTGCCAATATTTCCTTTAATTCGGGAAGTAACGACGGTATGTCTTCGAGAACTTCAACGCCTATGTATCACCACTCTGATCTGTCACCCGCAATATCTCACACTTATATCAATCAGTACACTGGATCCGAGCATCATTTGGACAGAGTGCAAACACCACAGATGTCTTATGTGCCGTTTGACGGCGACGGTTACGAGGACTATAATCATTCCGCATATCAAAATGCTAGGTGAAACAAACAATAAATTTAGCTTTTTATTTAACTTTCAATTGAAAATTTAAATCTATCTTAAATATAATATATATTAATGAGTTTTTTTTGACGATTACAGTTATAGTAGGTGCCATTCTGAAAGATCGAGTTCTCGAAGCGAACAGCAGCAAGAGGAGTTGCCTTTGCCACCGGGATGGTCCGTAGATTTTACATTACGCGGTCGAAAGTATTATATCGATCACAACACCAAGACCACGCACTGGTCACATCCGTTGGAGAAAGAGGGTTTGCCCACGGGGTGGGAAAGAATTGAATCGCCCGAATACGGCGTTTATTACGTCAAGTAAATATATATATTTGGAGAATCAAAAATTATTTATCTCTACTAAAAAAAAAAAACAAACTTATTTACCTCTAATGCGCACGTTACATCGTTTTTTTTTTTTTTATAGTCACATCACTCGGCAAGCGCAGTACGAACATCCGTGTTATCCGCACGAGATGCAAGCGGTGCGCGTTGTATCGCCACCGCGCCATACTCATTTTCACTCCCACAGTGTTCTGGTACCGGCCAATCCTTATCTCAACGAGGAAATACCGCACTGGTTGTACGTGTACAGCAGAGCTTCAATAGCTCTCGATCGCAAACTTCGCTGGGAGCTATTTCGTTTGCCCGAGCTGGATTGTTTCAACGCCATGCTCACGAGGCTGTACAAACAAGAACTCGAAGAGGTAGTGATGCGTTACGAAGAGTACAGGTAAAAACAAAACAAAAAAAAAAAGGATGTACATCAAAAAGACAAATTGTCAATCGTAAATACAAGTTTTGTCAATTACATTTTTACATCGTTGTTTGTTACACAGATCCGCATTGAATTGCGAAATGGAACAGAGAGGGAAGGAATTGAATCCAGAATCTGGCAATCCCAACGCTGGCGCCATCGCCTTACGAAGATCTCTTCCCTGAGCGAGATCTAATTTTGTTTATTACCGACCCAAGTGTTTCTTGAAAATTGAACGCAATTGTTCCTTGCGGATAGATAAATAAATCTTTTTGACTTGTTTTTATGCTAAGTGACCATATCTTTGATAGGGATAAAAAAAAAAAAATGATATGTAAGATATTACAAGTTTGACGAAATTTATATTTTTGAATAATAACGCTTTGTTATACGCGCTACATATATATACATATATATATTTACATATTTATAGACGATCAAGTTCTGATAAATAATTATTGTGTTACCTACAACATGTTTTCTTGCTTTCGAAGCGTGGTCTGGAGGTTTCTGTTTCATTCAGTCTCTTTTCCCTCCTCGTAAATGTCCTCGGTGTCGCTGCTAATGTCATACTTGTTGCTAAGTTTGAATCCTTTCACTTCATATACTTGCAAGTTGGTAGATCCATCGATTAGATATTTGTACAGCGATCCTGAAGATAGAGAATGAATGCGTTCTATTTGCTTCTTTTAAAAATCATCACTAAAAGTCAAAATACAAGAAAAACAATACTTTGATTTGAACCATCGTCTGGAAGTCTGTTTTTTACAATAGAATAAAACATAAAACCAAAACAATGCCATCCCACGATAGCGTAGATTATTGAAAGTTTTCGGTTTATAGCTTGTGCTTGGTCTTTTGTTGTCACGCCAAACCATCGTTTTAAAAATCTTTTCATAACCATGATCCAATATTATTTTTCAGACTTATGCGTGTTTTGAAAAAAAAACTTAGATTAACCTATATACACAGAAAAAAACTTGATAGTATATACAATTTTGTAAAGAGATGACATACAACCATTGGTAAATGTTCATATGGTTACCACTTCTCGATCTTGATAAAAATGTAATCTCTGATCAAATGGCACGGTGCACCTTCACGAAAAGTGCACCTTCATCGAAGAGAATCCTGAAGCGGTGTTCTCAGTTCTGGCTCTCTTATGGCTAGTCTGCAATCACTGAACTGTAATATGGAACGCGCCTTGCCATTGGGTGCGTTCAGACAACTCAACAGTTGCACAACGGTTGAGAGATAATCACTTCTGATTGGATCATACTTTTGGAACCGCAGTAGATTTTGAAGAATGGGTGCGTTCAGACAACTCAACAGTTGCACAACGGTTGAGAGATAATCACTTCTGATTGGATCATACTTATGGAACCTCAGTAGATTTTGAAGAATAGTCCTGTCATAAGTGATGATCTCTCAACCGTCGAGTTGTCTGAACGCACCCACTAATAACCGAACAGGGATATGTTCCAAAATCTCATCTTGGTAACCGAAAACTACAGTACACGTAACGTAAAATATAGCATTTTAGTAACCAAGGTAGGATTTTGGAACGTACCCCAGGAGCATAGAGTGCGGGAGCGAAAAAGCGATGGAGGCTTAGAAAGAGAAAGATGCATAAACCCCTTTTCCGTCCTTATCTAATCGGTAGCCAACGCTGATAGTGCTGGGGGGGCAGACGCAGAGCCCATTTTACGTTTATTACAAAAGTAACTGTTTTACAACTGTTTTCCTTACAAATAGAAAGTTAAATAAATTGATTATAATATTTTTACAAAAATAATAATAATAATAATAGGTAAAAAAATGAAGAAATTCTACTACCGTTGATGTCGTTTTCGCACGCGTCATTAGACAATCAACGAAGAGGGCGCGTATGCATCTTTCTCTCTTTCTAAGCCTCTGTTGCATTCAACTTCTTCTTCGCTTAAATGGCGCTTGCCCTTTCACGAGAGGAGCACAAGCCAGTCTAAGACAGATTTGTACCAAGATACTGAGATAAGTTGTGATGTAGGACACCACGGATTCAAAAAATAAACTTACGCAACAGCGGTCGTTGTGTGCTCCCCACGATACTCTCTACTCCTACAGCCTTACTACCTTCATAGCAGACGGCCCTTTAGACTTTGATAGATATTATACGTTTTTTACGTATTTTATCGTAAAAAAAACTGTAAAAAATGTAAAAAAAACTCTAGAAAATACTCGGATAACCCAACCTTGCAGTAGACAAAATATTAGGAATAAGAATAAATATATTAAATATATTTTTAGAAAAAGAATTTGAAATAACGTTACATCAAACAAGAAAATGGAATAGATTGATTGTTCCAAATTCTTATTTTTTAACTTATGATGCGTAATTTCTTTTATTTTCTTGCTTTGTAATGAAATAATCAAAATTACTTGATAATTAAAATCACTTATTTAATCAATTATTTCTTATTCCTAATATTTTGCCTGTTGTGCTCGGGGCCTAACAAAAGACATACCGTAAAAATTAAGTACGCGATGTGAGACATACACGACAAACGTCCCTGAACGTCTCTTAAGTGCGAAACAAATTAAAAATTACTTACTATAAATCAATGACACTTGATAAAAATTTAATCAACGCTCTGTAAGTAACGTTGCATAACGTTAACGGAAGTAGAAATGCGATAAAAAGTGTTTTCAACAAGTATACCATGCGCGCCAATCAAATTGTTAAGTTAAAACCGAACGTGTTAAAGTAAAAATAAGAGTGTCGTCTCGCAAAAAAAGATAAAAATGTAATTTTCGACTTAATTTTGTTGGAAATACTTGTTTGCAACATAAAAAAACGTAGAAAAAATAATGTATGTTTTTTATCGTAGGTTCAATCTGTCGGATAGAAAAATTACTGAAAAAAATGGGCAATTACAAAAAGCGATAAGAATGATGAGAATAATACACGAATTAAATGAATGAATTTTTTTTCGAGCGAACACTTTTTCAAGTTCAATATAAATGAATGGAAATAAGTTAGAGACGTATCTTTAATAAATGTTTATCTATTTACGCATGAATCTTTTCTCGGACTCTCACCTACGTCTTCAAAGACACATTACATTATTTTACAATAATTATATATATATATGTATATATATATATATTTATATATTTATATATGTATATGTCACTCTCTCTGTCTTCGTATGAAGATTTTACATAGCGAAGGTGTGAAACGGAGTGTAACGCAAAAAGCGAGCACAAGTCGTGTGTGCAAGTTCCGTAAGAAATGTTCGATGAAGTTCTAACAAGGAAAATCATCGAAAAAGGAAAAATCCGAAAAATGAACAATGGAAATCGTGCATTCCTCGATTTATCTCCGTGAAAATGAGCAAGCGGTCATCCATATTTTTTTCGGTTAACTATCTATTTTTTTTTGTTTTTTTTTGTTTTTTTTTTTTTTTAGTTTACTTGTGGCTATTTATTATTTTTTATCATTGTCGTTTATTACTCCTTCTCCTTGTTTAATTAATTCTTTATTGTTAACCATTATCGTTATTCGTAGTATTAATTACTATTATGCAATGGTAAGAAATTTTTAAAAACAATCCCACGTTTTCCTGAACGTTGCCAGTTTGTGTGGGAGCACAGCTCCAAAGTAGATTTCCCTTAACATCTGCGCGCGCGTTGTATCACTTAATTACATGTATAAGCAACGGATGTTTTTTTTTTGTTTTTTTGTTTTTATTTTTTTGGTACAATCAAATCTGGTTTGTCTTCGTTTCTTCTTTTTATTGTGTTATTACCTTTCTCTCTCGTTCCTTCGCTCTCTTCCTCATTACCCCCCCCCTTTACTTTCTCTCTATTTAAAAAACAACATATATATCTCGTTTCTCTCTCTCTCTCGCACATCTCATCGTCCGTCCTGTGTCTGCGCGTAATTAAATGTTATTTATTTTTTTTTAATTATTATTATTATTATTATTATTATTAATATTATTATTAACATTATTATGTTCGTGTATGCTAATGTCTTGTCGCGGCTTTTCACGTTCTTGAAAAACAGAGTTTTTGTTCTAAAGCAACACCGCGGGCACGCAGTCACAACAATCTTACGTTAGTAGTAGCCTACATCGGCCTCTTGTCTCTACATACGTTTTACACGTGTATTATTTTCATATTTATCGCAGTTTGGTGTGTGTATGTATGTGTGTGACGTGTATCTCGTATTTCATATTAATTATAATTCCTCTTTTTTTCTTTATAATATATATATATATATATACTGTATTAAATATATATAAATATATATAGATGTATATATTTATATATATTTCTGTTTTTTTTCTTTTTTTTTCTTTTTTTTTTTACCTAATTTTTATATTACGTACCTGTTAATTGGTTATCGTTAATACGAATATATTATACATATATTCAAAAAACCTCTTTGCTAACTCTTTCTCGAGAAGAGCAGCGACTACCAGCATAAAGGATTTTGACCAGCTATCTCTCGCTGGCCGTCTGTAAGAATGCACAAAATATGTTCGCGTTCAACGAAAAACGAACGTAAAAAATCACACAATCACAACGTGTGTAGACTTTGTCTATTCAAAGTGTTTACACCGCGATTATATTATTTCCTTTGACTGAGAGAACGCAACAAAAGTTTGATCAAAGGTCTGTCACATTGTTGCTTTGTTGTGTACTGACATCGAGTATATCATGCAAGGTCATGCGTCATAACCCTAACGCTCAATTGTAATCGGACGAAACGGAAGAGAAACCGAAGCGCGATATACATATATTATATATATAAACACTTAGAATTAACTAATGGTCATATTGCTGCTGTGTTGTTATTGTGTTGTAAAAAAATGAAATTATATTTAACTGTATATATCGTCTTTTCTTTTTCATTTGTTATTTTCTTTTTTTTTTTTTTTCCATCATTTCGCGATATTTTACGGTCATAACTAATAAAATCAATTACGTCAAAAATGTCATCATTAGACAATTTGTTTCGCTAAGAATAAGGATTTTTTTTTTTTTTTTTTTGCAGATAGTATTTGGACAATCGACGTGAACTAAGGGTTAATAATCGGGCAGCATGGTGCTCTATCTCCACCTAGAGAGAAACAAACAGTACGTTATTTAAAAGATATTCATTTGATTGTGTACATATATATATATATATATATATGTGTGTGTGAATGCGTAATATTTTTACCAGCTCAGGGGCGGGTTCGCGTCGTAAGTGGTGTGTTAGTGGCAGGAACTGGATTATTAGTGATAGCATTGGTGAGGGCATTACGTTCAAGAGCATTGCGTCGCTCTATTTCCAATTCTGCCAATCTCTTCCACAATTCGTCCCTTTCTTTTTCTCTTTTCTTCTCTCTGCAATTCAGATGTGTTAGAGCAAACAACGCGATGCAAAGAAAAATTTTTTATATATTTATTTCAATTAGATTAATAATTGAATTGAGATTTTTGAACGTTGAATTACAAAAATCAAAGTCAAATTAAAACTCAAAAAGATTCAATTTTTGATTCAATAAGTAGTCATTTTTTTTTAAAGGCAAAAAGAATTCGAACTCACTTTTGTCTCTCAGACTTATAAGTGGCAGTAAGTTCATCAAAGAGCTTGCTGTTCATTTCCATAAATGTTTTTAAAACGTTATAAACAAGAGCTACAATCGTCTGATTCCAATGCTCTTTGCTAATTCTGTACAACGCTGGAAACATAATCGCCATTATTACATGGTTGTTCTCCTCGATTAAAGACATTATATACTCGTTATTCCAAAAGTATAATGCTCTCTCCGCAACCTACAAACATACAAAAGTGATAAGTTTTTCATAGTTTTTTTTTTTTTAAATTTGTCGGTCAGCGTGAATTGCTGCATCATATCACTCGCTTACTTACCTGAAAGTGTGGTGAAGATACGCAGCGTGCAATTTGCCTGAACAAAGGTTCTTGTATTCTAACAAATTGGCCAGGTTCAATAACATCCAAAATTTCCTCGATCTCGCCGAGAAACATCACTTCTTTTCCGCTGCATGTTTTAGGCCAGAATTTAAGGAGGCCTCGTATAACTGGTTCTGTTAAAGTCGCATCCTTTTCCAGAAATTGCACCACACAATAAGCTAACTGCGCGTGATATAGTGATAAACATTTCACTTTATGTAATGGTAACAGCACCTGCGCAAATACAATATTTTAATTATTGTGACACGTAAAGTTTTGTCGGATACATTTTACTCTATTGTTTATGCAGCTGTTTGGATCTTACTAGAGTTGCTTTTATATACAAAAAAAAAAAATTACTTGAAGAACATACATGTAAAGCAAAAAGTATCAGATAATAAAAAAGTATCAGATAATAAAAAACGATAAAACTACGATTTAAAAAATTCATATATAATCGTATAAAAATCAAATCAACTTGATAGAACGTAATTTAATCGTACCTTAACCAAAAATTGCTTGTGCTCAACTTTTAAAGGAAGAGCAAATCCATTAATAATGCTACCCAAAATTTCGAGAAGTTCGCCGACTCCGTTGAAATGTTCCGTTTCATACACAAACCTGAAATAATAACAAGATTTTATTACGTACCACTATTGAAATAGAAAACAACATGAAATAAGCATGATGATAAATCAGCACATGAACAAAATTACACAAATGAGGTTTTCACTTAATTAATAAATTTACTAGAAAGTAGCAGAGCACATGTATACTCAAAAATACACAAGTGTTTAAATCTTTCTGTTACCTCAGAAAAATGTTGTTTATTTGTTTTCGTATGAAGGCTCTGAGACCCAGGAACTTGCCGTAAATACGATGTAAGACCGTTTTCAGAAAATCTCTTTCCCTCGGGTCTTCAGAATCAAACAAATCCAATAACTGTAACAAATCCAATAACATATAATATATATAAATGATATAATGTAATATAACATATAATATAATATATATAAGTATGTCAATTTATGTATTTAGTATTAATTATTTAAAAAACAGTAAAAAAAAACTCTACCTGTAACACAAATTTTTGGTCGATAACTTTTTTGCCAATGGCAGGTTGAAAATCTGAAGACTCGAGAAACCGAAGGAAGACTTCGTACACCAACTGAAGATGAGGCCAACTCGCCTCCAGGGTTGGATCATCTTCTTCTGGATCAAAATCCGGATTTTCACTAGGTGGCAATGTACGAAATAGATTGGCGGAAACCTTTAAACACAAATACATGCAAACATTTAGCTTCAGTTAATTTCTAATTTTGTGTAGAACTTTTTTATGTATATTAAATACATATGTATATATACATTATCTATATTAAATACTATAACTTTACGCACCATTTTAATAATTTCTGGATAAATCGGTTCGGTAAGAACACCTCGTCCTGCAGTAATATATTCCACTAATTCATTGAGCGCACTCCGTTTAATTTCCTTGCCTTTAATATCAGCCATTGTATCCATGAAATCAAATGTGACGCAACATTGGCGGAGCTTTTTGATAAACAGTTCTTCTTGATCTGCTGCGTTAACATCTACAACAAACAGACACCAAAGTTCAATTCAAATTATTGCCATTGTATATATCTAAAACTAATCAAGCTGTTAACACAGTTTGTTTTGGAACCGCATTATCTTAGCAACAAAAAGAAAAAAAAAATAACAGAAAACACCGTATACACATATTTAACTATTTGTAATTGTTTATTCCGTGAATGATAGTTCAATAAAATGTTATTTCTTTTGCTCTGTAAATGTGTAAGCAAACAATCTACTTGAGCTGATCAAAACATGAGTCATACAAGTTATTCTGGTATTATATAAAGATTAAAATGCTGCTGTTTTGTGTATAAATAAATTAAATATATATATATATGCGCGCGCGCGCATACACACGCACACACATATTTACATATAAAAATCACAGGGGAAGAACTCGATAAGTCAATTTTTTCAATTTTGTTTTTGGCGTTATTTTTGGTAGTTAAAATGGAGTATTTTAATTATCCAAAGCGAGAAAAAAAAGAAATTTTTGATAGATTCCGAGATATAAACATTTTTATAAAAACGTGTAACACAGAAATACATGTACGTTTTGAACTTTAGAATCGCTCTCTTCTAAAATTACAAAAATGTGACTTATCAAGCTCTTTCTTTGTGATCTTCGTATATATATAAACTATGAAATCATAATGTATTTTATTCCAAATGTGCGTTTGATTTAAAGTTAATTTTTCACGTGCGAGATATGACAAGGTAAATAGAAGAGTTTTTATATTTCTCTGTTAAAATACACACATCGTGATATCTATGTTAATCATTTCATCAACTATTCTCGTCTCTATCGAGAATAATTTTGACCGGTATGAAAGACCTCGTTACGTATTTTTTTCTATTTGTTATATATTTTTTCATAAGTTTCATTTAATGTTTTTAATACAAAAAAAACTGTTACAATATATCTGTATAGTTTTGCTTTCTTTTTATTATAATTATTGTAGATGATTCGCTCTGTTTAAAAAAAAATATATATCTGTGCAAAAACGGTTTGGTAGTCAGTCGAAGATCGCGTTCGCACGTTGTTGGTTCCCCATTTGCATAGTCACGAGTTCACGGATTTTTGTCACGCGGCTCAAAATTAGGACCGATCTTTTTCTTGCAGAAACGGTGCTTATGCGTACCTACAATATGTTATCGAATTGACAATCGCTTGTTTTTGCGCGCGCGCGCGCGCGCGCCGCACAATAGCTAACGTAATTTACATTACAAAAAAACTCTTCCAAATAATTTGCATTGCAATATACTTTTCGAATTAAATATTTCTATATTTATATATACATATATACGAATGAATACATTGCACTCTGTGATATAATTGCTTTATATACGTGCGGCTTTATATGTTAGAGAGAGAGAGAAAGAGAGAGAGAGAGAGATAAGTAAGAGAGTGATTTACTCTGAAAATAAGTATTCCGTTCGACGGACGACGACGAAAGAAACTCATTCAGTGTCATTTGTTCGCTCCGGTTAATTGCTCCATTACTGCCTAACCATTACCGACGGCATTTTAGCGGTTAGGAACACGAAGATATACGTAAGATAGCGTAAGGTGATACACACGAAGATAAAATACATAGACTAAGTTGCGCCCACGTGGACGCGCGCGAGAAGAGATAAATTTCATTTTTAATCCCATTCTATAATGTTCAGAAATGTAAATTTCTAAGAATTTCTATTGAGCGCGAAACAAAAGTGTTTTTATCAATAAACTGTGTATGTATTTATATTATTGTGTAAAAAAATTATTTTCTATATTAAATAAGAAAAATTGTCTCTGATTGAAAAATTTTATTTCGAAAGACGTTTTATTTCGCGCAATAATAAATTTGAGACACTATATCTATAACTCCGTCCGTGTGTGCAGTCCAAAGGAAAACACACGTAAAAGCTAATCAGTTTTTGACCCGTGCGTCTCTCTCTCTCTCTCTCGCTTCGGGGGGATGATGGCGTGTTGCAACGCTCGGCGGCAAATTCGCTCTTCATAATGGCACACAGCGTGGCCTCAATGACTTTATCAAATTATACCAAACTCCGTCTCTCCGCCTCTCTGTCTGTCTATCTATTTTGTGTCTATCTATCTATCTCGTTCTTCATCTTATAACCGGCGAACCGTTACGCTGTGCCACGACCGAATCGCGACACAGTTGGACAACACACATCCTGAGGCAAAAAATTGGCAGCAACGAATTATACCTATGTTATATATTTGTCTCTTACAATCTGCCGCTGATTTTTCCGGTCTTGCCGGTTATGCACGTTAAAAAAAAAAAAAAAAGGCAAATACCACCCGGAGAGGAAAGAATTGATCGCTATACTCGCGCGTCGCCCCGTCGTTATTATTATTGAATGGTGACATTCTAACTCGCGATTCAAAATAGTGCCGCTTGTAGCAAAACACAAGTTCGTAACACATGTCCAAGAGACATATTTAGATGTTACTAAGGTCACATTGCAACTATACACACACACACACACACACGCGCGCGATCTTATTATTATTGTCGCGCGTTAAGAAACGTTCTTTTACTTATACGTGTTACTTTTAATAGAACGGCGCGATTCGAATCGCGTTCGTTTAACAAATAAAATCGCGAAAAAATTTACTTCACACTCTTTCGAAGAGAAAGTGGAAACCAAAATTACAGAATTTTTATCAAAATGCCAATTTAACAAGTACCCGTAATTGCAATTTGCCCGTACATTTGCCGCGTTCATTTAATTTTGCAAATTAGAGGAGTGGCTGTTTTAATTCGAAAATTTGTGTATTCGTCTCGATCAATATCACGGATTGGTCAATTATTTGCGTTCGCGCGGTTTTTACTTCTTCGACGGTTTTCTGATTTTCGGCGATGCCGAAACGCAAACGGTTGTTGAGAACGCGATTGTTCGATATTACAAATTTCTTCTTTTTATTTTCCAAATAACTTTGAAGAATTTGTTGCAACATATCGGATCATTGATTCATTCACGAAGTAGAGAAGCCGTGACCGTTGAAGATCACGATTCATCCAAGTTTTCTCACACAACTTGGTCTTTGATATAATTTTCTTACATCGGTGTGTGTTTAAAACTAGTTAAACGTCTGTGACCTTATTATTACCTTTTTTGTGCTCTGTGATACACACCGCGTGACTCTCATTTAAACTTCGACTAAGTTTATTTCCGGATGAGAAAAAAAAAAAAAAATTCCAGCGAAAAGGGTAGAACCCATCACAAGAATCCGTCACGGGAATTCTATTTTCGCTTTGTTCGAATTATGCGAGTTAATAAAATGTCATTTCCATAATCAATTCGCGTGTGTATCCGCTGTTACACGGCATAGTTAAAATGAATTACGTATCGCTATTTGTGCGATACGTAATTACGAATATATATATATATATATATGTATATATATATATCTGAGCAAATTTGCGTCACGCCTTGGCTGCGACAAGGTGAGAGTGTAATTAATTTTTCATCCGGAGGGTTTCGAAGGTTTAATCGATCGCCAGACACATACAATTCCCTTCCATTGAAGCTTTTCCCGATACACACCCTCTAAATGCTTAGTGGGTGGCCGAAGAAATGCCGCGATCGAGGTTGCATGATGACGACGGTTGAACGGCCTTAATACAAATCCCTTAAATCCGGCAAAAAGGCAAAGAGCAGAGAGAGAAAAAGAGAGAGAGAGAGAGAGAGAGACAAACACAAAGGTCGAAAACGCGAGAATCTACTGTCGCGACGCGTCGCCGTCGCAAAAGCTCCGAAAATAGCGTTACGTGTCCGCGCGCCTCGACCCCATTCGTTCGTTCTCCCTCGGCGTTACGTGCGCGTGATCATTTAGCATGCACATATTTATAATTTCATTCATAACGCGACATGAACACGTATCTTCACGTATATACGCGCATATCCGCGCCGTGCCGCGCCGCGCGTGCGACGGCGCTCTGCGTCGATTTAGCTGCGCAAGAGAGGGTAAAGTGGTGCTGTGTGCGAGATTTGTAAAAATATTTTCACTAGCTAGATGATTACGAAAGAATATTTTTTGCTCCTTCTTTCTCTCTCTCTCTCTCTCTTTTCCCTTTATCGCAATAGTTTTTAGAATTTCTTAAATCAATTGTTTTTTTTTTTTTTTTTAATTTTCAGAGAAAATTTGGTTTGAAAGTGCATAATTGCAAAACACGCGACTTTTGTGTTACGCGTTTCTATTCGTTCTTGAGATTTTGTTCGCGTAAAAAGTCTGTTATTTCTTGACTCGATGTGATTGTCGTAAAAAAATTTTTACTTTCTCTCCCCTCCCGCCCCTAAGAAATCAACTTATAATTGCGTTGCTTAAACAGCCGTGGTTGAAAGAAGAATAAGGTTGCGCATGGAAGAAAGAGAGAGAGAGAGAGAGAAAGAGAGCGGCAGGTAGTGTTTATTCTCTCATTGATCACAGAAACTGATTTTAAATCGGTTTTTTATTATTTGAAACACAGACCGAAGGGTTGCGTATAGCGTAATGGCAAGGAATTCGCCCGAGGGGAGAAATTCGATCCGTCGCAGTTGTCAGAATTGAAATCAACCGATTCGGGGGAAAAACAATATGCTTTATATTCGCCGCGAAATATAAAACGCAGATTGATACAACGACAACAACAACAACAAAAAAAAGAAAAAGTAGAAAAGAAAAAACCAGAGAGAAAAAAAAATGAAATAAAAAAAATATAAAATACATTTACAATGTAAAAAGTGTAATAAACTAATAAAAGTGTATGAACTAAATAAAAACCGTAAACTTTGATAAAATAATACAAGTGCAAACTTAAGAGAAGATGAGGAATTGTGAGAGAAAAGAAGAGAAATGAAAAGCAAACTAGGGGGGGGGAGGGGGAGGGGGTGGAAAGAACGCGAAAGACCAGAAGACGGGGGGTAGAAACGTGAAAGGAAGGTTGGCGAAGGAGTAGAAGAGGCGCGTTACAGGCAGGTGGTCGCGTTGCGGATCAATACTTCC